GGAAACGATATTCGAAGTGTGAAAGTTGTTTTCACATTTGCGCACACGCGCGAAATGTTCTTTTCCCGGCGAATTACCGAACTGGCAGTCGAAAATCCAATGAAACATCGCCTATTTAAGCAATGTCTCCTGAAGTGGGCATTTCGCATTGAATCGGGTGTCGCAGATGTAGAATTTTGTTTATCGTTTTAGTAGGTTCAGCGGTAAGCTTTCACTTCCGCTAATTGCAATCACCGCATGTACATTTACCACTTACCACAATAAACGTGACTTGTTATTTTGATTAAAATATCATAAGCAATTGATGCATTCTGCTATATCAACAAAATAAAGGTCGATAATAGTCGATAATAATAGAGAGTTGTTTAACATAGATGTCGTATGTGTTAATATAAATCTCTCTGTGTCATAATCGACCACTATATACATTGTATGTATGTATGTTCTTCTTTAGTCCTTGTTTTAGTCGGTAAAGAAGTATATCTTTTATTTTTGTTTGTGAACAAGGATGTGTGTTTCTATTGTCTTCAATAGATCCTTTATGTAGTAATATACTTCGCTAACAAAGTGAGTTATTGGTTTGATTTTTACTTTCAGTGATACATAAATTGTTGATGCATAACATGATTGCTCCGCTTGAAATTTTATTTTCTCTCGTACAGCTTTACACGAATGATCTAAAGAATATAAATCGTGATATAAAATGTACGGTATATTCTTCCGTTGAGTTCATCTCCGTTCTGCACGACAAAAAACTTAAAAAAATAAGCTGCTTTCAGAAACCTCAAAAATCCTAAAATAATTTTAATTTAATATTTGTGAAAAAACCCTGAAAAAATCTTGTAATTGTTAAAAAATATATTTAGTTAAGCGCTTCAGAGTATAATATTTGGTACCTAGATAGCACATGGACGTTTTTTATAGACGTCCAGTGGACGTTCAAGTTCGGATATTGGGACGTCCATAAGACATCCGAATAAAGCCCAACAGACGTCCGGTGGACGTTCATAGGATAATCCGTTTTTACTTATTTTGGACGCCCTTGGAATATTCAAAAAAGGACCTACACAGAACATTATTTTTAGTGTCCTTATTCGGTTCAATTTTCTAACAAAAACTATTCGTAAATGTTACAGCATTTATTGATTTTACTTGAAAATTTTAGATAACTTGATTTCAATGTTACATCACATTAAATTCTACTGACACTGGTGGGACTCCAACTTGTATCTGCGAGGCACCTTTCGATTATAAAGCTGTTGCTTTAGACTCGATACCACTTCATCGATATAAACGTCTTACATTTTGTCTATATATGTTGTAATTAACACAGTAATATAATTTTCTGATAATATGATTCAATAAAATAATTTAATTTTAATAAAAATTATATTTTTTGTACTTTTATTGTTAATTTAACCCTTAGCTAATGAGGTAAGATCTACAAAATCCCGCACATTCCATTTCGTTATCTTTAAATTTTTATAATAAGAATTCTTTATTGTTAACAATTATTAAATAAGTCATAAAAGACTATAAACTTTTAATAATTATAAAATAGTACTACTAAAAAAAAAGAACAATCTACTTTATTATATAAGATTTAATTAATTAAATTAATTAAATTTATATATAAACATACAAATCAACGCTTATTATAAGCGATGAGGTATCTGTCTAATGTAACCATAAAACGTAAATAAAATTAGTTAATAATAGTAATTTCTCACATACTCTCAGAGTATTCTAAGTAATAATTCGCGAAATATTTATTATAATAAAGTTCCAAAGAATACTTTAGAATAAATTAGGCTCGGATAATTCTTCAGGAATTCTTCAGATATTCATTTTTCTAATTTTAAGTATTCTTTAAAATAAATTTTCTATGAACTTCTATTCATCTTTATGCTATCTGAGTCAACATTTTCTCATTAACATATTTTTGAACATTATCCTACTAATTGGATAATTGCAACGATGCAATGCTCGTGAGTAAGAAATGGTAGGACAAGTTTTATAAGGTTTATTTTTAAGAGCCAAATGCTTGAGATGCAAGCATATAAGAAATAAATAACAACATGTATAAATAATAATCTGTTGGTTATAGACACTACAATTGATATAAATAAACATTAGATAAAAACCTGTCACATTCTTTGCTCATCGAATAGCTGGTTAAAAACATATTATAGACTTTTAAAATAACGTTATTATCACCTCAAAATTGTTCACGTTTTTTAAACGTCAGTTATTGGTTACATGACGTCTAAGACTGATAATTATCATTTATCGACGTGAAAATGACGCGACGTTGCTGTCTGGAGATAAAATGATATGTAGCGTTGATAGCGCGCATTCTCAACATGCCTGTAGTCGAATTTTATACTTAAGACATTTATATCCAAAATCGGATATCTTATGGACGTTCATTGCATGTCCATGGATGTGCCGACGTAAAATGAACAAAATGGACGTCCATAGAACATCCTATGCTATCTGGGTAATTAATATTAATAATACAGGTCCGCAAAAATAAAGTTGTCTATGCTGGGGATGTGACTGGGCTATCTTAATAATTTTGAATCGCTGAACACGAACATAGTGTCAGAATTGCGCTCAGTTTATCGTGAAATTTGAAAAGTGGCCCGGAAACCTATATTTAACTTATATTAAAGTAATAAGATCACTGATTATAGAAAAGTAGAGGTGTCGGAAAGTTTGTTATTTCAACGCGTTGCCATGCTATGTTGTGGCGCCCTCCGAAATACGTTTATATTAGAAAATCTGAATAATAAATACGTCTTATGAGTGTCTGCTTTTACGTACTCTTTTTTTTTCAAATGACCTATGAAGTGTGAATTTCTCTTGCGCTTTTTTCCTCTTGTTAAAACAAAAACTTTTGTTAGATGTTAAAAAGAGAAAATACAACTACTTTATAGATCATTTAAAGAAAAAAGAGTATGTAAAAGCAGGCGCTCATAAGATATATTTATTACTCAGATTTTCTAATATAAACGCATTTCAAAGGATGCCACGACATAGCACGGCATCACGCTGAAATAACAAACCTACCGACATTTCTACCCAGATAGCCAAATCTGCTGGAGCAAATTTTGCCCAACACTTGACTACAAATTTTGCTGCCAAAATGTCATCAAATTGGACACAATATCTGCTAAATCAAAGGTTGTTGGCAAATTGGCGCCAAATACCGAGCAAGATTTGTGCGGCGCAGTTTGACATCAAATTGGTGCCAAATACCGAACAAAGCTTGGTGAAATCTAACGCCAAATTGACGCCAAATACCGACCAAGGTTTGTGCGGCGCAATTTGGCGCCAAACTTTGCTCGGTATTTGGTGACAATTTGGCGTCAGATTTTGTCACCAAGCTTTGCTAACAAAACCCAAGCATATTGCGGACGCAGATGGCATCGGATTTGCCGTCAAGTTTTGGCCATATTTGGTGTCAATTTGGCGACAATTTGATACCAAATTGTTTGCTGGGTACTTTTCCATGATCAGCGATCTTATTACTTCAAATATGGATTCTCAGGCCATTTTTCAAATTTCACGATAAACTGAAAAGCAATAGCGCAATTTTGACACTATGTTTGTGTTCAACAAATGAAAAGCATAAGAATAATCTAGATGTCGTGATGGTTGATCTTATTACTTCAAATATGGATTTTTTAGTTATTTTTTTGAGTTTACTCAAAACTGATACGTCGAAATTCAATGTTAAAATTAGATTAGTATTCAGCGACCCAAAAAACATAAATATAACCTAGCTATATTCCCAGCCTTCCGCGATATTCGATCTTATTATTTAAAATGTGGTTTTTTGAGCTATTTTTTGAGTTTATTCAAAACTGATACGTCGAAACTCAAAGTTAACATCAGATTTATGTTCAGTGACAAAGAACATTAAGATAGCACAGTCACATCCCCAGCACAGACAACTTTTTTTTGTGGGCCTGTGTAATACATATTATTGTCACATTATGTAATAAATAAACAAAAAGACCATATACTTTGAAAATTATGAAACTATTTAATAATTATCACTACATTATTTAATATTATTTACCCAACCATTTAAATAGTTTAACTAATGAAAAATTTGTTTGACTAATTATTTTGTAATTATTACTAGACGGTTGGAACAACTATTTAAAGCAACTATATATATTATTATGTTTGATACTAATTACCAACTATTATATTAAACCAAATCAAATATATTCAATCAAATATATTTAACTATTACAAGATTTTTTTTAGCATATAAAAGAAAAGTATAATTGAATAATATCTGGTGTATGTATAGAATGATAATGGTCTAACTTTGTCGATACAAAATAGAACAATAACTATTTCTTTTCGTGCCACTCCACATGTGCATTGATCATAGCAATGCTGTGCAACCATCGATCGCGAAACTCGCGAACAGCGCGCATTGTGGAACGAACGGCGTCATTTCAGTTTACAACGTAGCATTGGTCGATATGTCTGTCTAAAAATAAATTTATTGTATCTTTTAATTCGTTTTATATTATCCTCGCATTAATTTTATTTTGGCGTCTTGATAAGAGCGAAGGAAGAACCGAAAGAGAGATGCAAAGAAGAGAAGCATAAAACGAGAATAATTGTCATAATTATTATCGTAAAATATAATCAGATGTGTCAGATGAATTGGGAATTTAATCAAATTAAAAATCTGTCACTTGATATAACTACCGAACTTTTTTACTACAACATGTCGCTCATGTTTGCTACAACTCGGTTCGATCTGATAGTGAAGTTATCGAGTATACGCGAAAACTATAATCCATCGCGCTAGCTCAATGAGTTAATTTTATTGCGTTACCGGTGTTTTCTTGTTTCTTGTGCATTACACAGAATTTTACTGTTTCTATTATTACCGATGAAACTGTAATTATGATAAGGTCCGAGAAATAGATACAGATGCGAAAGATATTAAATAACGACGATATACTAACGAGAAAATCTACTGGATCCTCCGGACGTAGTTTGGCAACTTCGATTAAAGCTTCCGTCAATGTTGGGAGAACGTGTGTCGCGAGATAATGTCGCAGCGGTATTGCCAAGACACAAAGCCTCTCCTCCTCCTCTTGCTTCAACTTCTCCGTCAGCCTCATCTGGAAAAAACAAGATTTTACGATCGCGCGTAACTGTAATTTTATATACGTAGAAAAAAGGAAACAATTATGTAATTGATACGCACACGCACGTATAAGTAGTATGGTATAAGAAACTCTTATCTTTTCTATTAAACACTGCAGTTAATAGCAAGTGCTAGAAATAGTTACATTTGTTATAAAACTCGTCGTACATAACAATGAATACTTGGTGAGGAACGTATATGGAGTTATATTCCGGACAACACATAACGTCCTCAGAATCATTCTGAATATGTCCTAGGACATTGTCAAAATATTCATATATTCACAGGACGTCATATTTAGAACATCCTTAGGATATATTTAGGAGAATACGAGGACGTCTTTAGAAGAACCACAGGATATCACAGGTATTGAGAACGAGCCGTGAACATCCTAAGGACATTTTTCCTAGAACATTTTCAGGATTTCTGTGATACCGTTATAGTAAAGTATCACTGGCTGTGATAAATATAACTGGTATATAATATGTTACATAACAAAAGTCATGTTCACTTTATACTGATGTTATATAACATAATTTATCAATAGGTGCAATTTATTAGATTTATTAGACGCTACAAATGCTTTGAAGTACAGCATATAAACCAATCATGGCTTTTCTTTGGGCGCTTTAAAATGTTTGCAGCGTCTAATCCCAGATAGCACAGAGATGAATAGAAGTTCATAGAGAATTCATTTTTAAAGAATACTTAAAGAATTAGAAAAAAGAATATCTGAAGAATTTCTGATGAATTATTCCGAGCCTAATTCATTCTAAATTATTCCTTGGGACTTCATTATAATGAATATTTCTCGAATCATTATTTGAGATACTTAGAGAATTAGTAAAAAATTATTATTATTAGTTAATTTTATTTACATTTTATGGTTACATTAGACAGATACCTCATTGCTTATAATAAGCAATTGATTGATTTATATATTTATACATAAATTTAATTAATTTAATTAATTTAATTAAATTTTATATGATAAAGTGGAATTTTTTTTCAATTGTACTCTTTTATATTAGGACCTTAACTTAGTTTCCGCCCAAAAAATACTGAGAAAAAGCATTTATTGTAAAAAATTTATTTAAATTATTTCAATGAAAGTATTTTCCATCACTTTCTACAACTTTTTGCCATCTTTCTGGCAACTGGGCGATACCATCTCGATAAAACGATGTTTGTTTCGAAGCAATCCATTCGTCCACCCATTCTCGCACTTCTTCAACATTTCGGAAGCGTG